GGCCCCCGCCCACGCGGGATCCGGGCACCGCCACCACCAACCCTCTTCCCCCCAACCCCCCCCCCCCCCACCACACACACACACACACACACACACACACACACACACACCAAACTCCTGTGTTGGTCGCAGGCGTGTCCTTTGAGCTGCGCGGCGGCTTCCCGCCCAAACCGCTCACCCCGTCCGCCGACAAGACGCTCAAGGAGGCGGGCCTCCTCTCCGAGTCGATCGTGCAGAGCACTTGTTAGAGGGCGGGCGACATCGCCCGAGCCAGAGGGGGCTCCTGGCGCCGTCGGCGAGGAATACGAGGGCGTGCTGCGGCGCATTGACCTCTCCTCCTGGCCCGCGCCCTTCCTCCGCGCCGCACGCAGCGAGACGGTGAGAGGCCATGGCCGGTTGGCCGTCTGAAGGGGTCGCGGGGAGATGTGCGGTGTCGGGGGTCGCGCCGAGAGAGCGCGGCGATGCGTGCTACCAACGCTTGCCATGCGCGAACGCTGTCGGCGCCCCTGGCCTCGCAAGAGGTCTATACTATGTGTGGCTGTGGTGTTAAGGTGTCATGCGGTTGGCCAGGATGGTTTGTGTGTATCGCGCGCCTTGCGGGCTCCGCTGCTTAAAATGTTTGACGACTTCGAACCCGTGAAAAGCTTCCCCGTGCGCGGGTCACCCCGCACACGGGTCAGCCTGCCAGCCACGTAAAGGGTGTGGATGCTGGGTTGACGGAAATCGGAGGACGCGACCCACTTCGCCACAGACGGTCCCGCGCCTCGCCGCTATGACGGGGACACACCCCGCACCGTCCGCTGTGTCCCCGTCTTTGTCCGGAGTGAAAAGTCCAACGCGCTCGTGGGTGACGGCTTCCTCCAACCTTCGCCGCGCTCGGCGAACCTCGACAGCGCCTTCGGTGGCATGCTGCTCTTTGCGACAGAAGCCTGGAGAGCAGCTCCTCTACTGCTCACACACTCTGCACAGTTGACACAGCCTACTGTGCGGCTGCCACAGCTGTGACAGCGAGATGGGCTCGCCCTCACTGGCCCTCAGTCACTTGTGCTGCGGCTTGTGTGAGCGACACTGCTCGGCGACTGCCGGCACACTGTGAGTCCATGGGTGTGAGGCTAAACCACGCTACCAGCGCTTGGTCACATCGGCCCCGAGGTCAGATCCATCTACTCTGTTGATGACAAGACCTTGTCTACCGGCTGGAGCCGAGCAGGAGGGCCCGGCGCACAACCCCTGGTCAACTCACCCTCCACACCCCGTATCCACGCAAGCGTGGTGCTGCGGAGCCGGGCGAGGGGCGAGGGAGCAGGGACGGAGTTCGGAGGCGTCCCCGCCCAAACACCGAAAAAATATTTCAGTCCCGTCTCCCCGACCGGCAGGCGTTCTCCCTTGCGGCCGCTAAGGTAGACGGATTGCTCCTCAAAAAAAGCTAGACGGATTGCTGCCCCGCCGATGTCTCGTGGCCGACGTCGCCACCGTCGTCGCCGCCGCCGCCGCCGCGGACCGTCCGTTCGAAGAGGCTGCCAACGGCGCGGCAGACAAGGCTCTTCCAACGGCGGAGGTCCACCCTTGCCCGGGCCGGAGACGCACCGAGGCCCTTTGCCAAGAGCACGAGCGAAACCTACGGGAGGGGTCATAGAGCGGGGGGTCGCACGCATAAGGCGGAACGCCGTTCTCCGCCGCCGCCGCGCGCGCCTCGTGGTGGCGTCCGGGGAAGCACGACTTTGCCAGGTCCTTGTAGAGGCCTCCGGCGATGAGCTCCTGCGACATATTGTAAGGAAGGGGGGGTTGGAGGAACGCATGGGAAACGCGCGGGATGGCCGCCTCTGAGAGAGTCTGGAGAGAGTCGCTCCTGCGGCGTGGTTTCAAAGAAGCGCGAGAAGGGCACGCCGCCCTTGTCGGGGTCGTTCTCGTGCGCCATCACGATCGGCAGCCTGTCCTCGCGCGCCTGCCTGACCTGCTCGGCCAGCCGCTCGTCCGACCAGGTGTCCTCGTTGAGGTAGAGCAGCATGTGCGTCGCGTCGCCGGCGCGGCGCGGCGCCGAGCGGCGCATGATACTGGAGCGGCGGTGAGAAGCCCGGGAGGCAACAGAGCCGCGGTCCTCGGCCGTGGAGACGGTGAGGCCGGCAAGGGCGTCGGCGAGCTCGTTGGCCAGCTCCACCGACCCCGCGTTGGCCGGCGAGGCCCAGAGCGTCACGGGCTTCGCAAGGGCGAACGAGTGGATGCGCGGCTCACCCGGCACGTAGAGGCCGACGGCGTCCAGCCCGTCGTAGTCGGGCGAGCAGAGGAGCACCGCCTGTGTGGGTGCAAAGCGGGAACGTCCAGACACTAGAGAGAGAGGCGCGGTGTATGGACTAACGGCGCCTCGACGATGGTCTTGAGCGAGACGCGCTGGAACTCCTCGATGCGATACCACGTCGTCTGCGTCCGGCCCTGGTCAAAGATGTCCGACTGCAGTTCGTCGGGGCATTCGTCGCGCAGCGCCTGCAGCGTCCCGCCGCCCTTGGCCGGGTCCGCTTCTTGCACGAGGACGAGCGGCTTGCTCTGCTCGAGCGTCGCGCGGATCTCGCGGAGGCAGTTCTGGTGGCGCGCGCGGAGCGAAGGGTGAGCCGCGGGGAGTGTCGAGGGGGCGCTCGGCGGCTCGCGCTGCGTTGGGGAGGCGTGGCCGGGCGGCGTGCGTGCGAGCGCCGGTGAGCGAAAGTAGCCCTGCGAGAGGAAGAAGAGGATCATTTGCGTGCGCTGGATGTACTCCTCAAGCGCCCCGATGTCTTTGAGATCATCGACCTATGAGTACAGGACGCGCAGTCAGAGGCGCTGTCTTCCTGTACGCGGCGCGATGAACATGCGTGTACGCGCGTCGAGAAAGACTTTGATGCCTGGCAGCAGCAGCTGCAGCTCGCTCTTGATGACTCCGACGGTGTCTTGACCAGTCGACCTATTCGGGGTCGGGGGTGCCTCATGCGCGTTCGGACTCTCTTCTTCCCTCCGCAGCTGTGATTCACCAAATGTGCGAGAGGAAGAGGTGCCACGCGAGGCCCCGCACGAGGGTGAGTTCGGGCGGCTGCTTGGTGGAGACAAGGCGGATCGTTGGGACCTTGGCGGTGCGGCGGGCGGCGACGACGGCGCCGGCGAGGGAGATCAAGAGCGCGACTCCGGCGAGGCCGATCATCGTGCTGACGATCGGATTAAGCTTGCTGAAGCCGAATACGGCGGCCGCGTCATCGGTTCCGGAGCGCTCCTCGATGCGGAGGAAAATGGTGGTCCAATTGGCGCCGAGGAAGACGATGAGGAGGATGAGGCTCATTGCGACGGCGAGGACAGAATCCTCGACGCGCTTGTACGGTTTGGTGGCGGCGACGAGCGCGACGTAGCAGGAACAGATGAGGGTTGCCACCACGAGCCGAAGCAACGCGTTCTTCTCCGGGATCAGCAGCACGAAGCCCGTCAGCACGAGCTTGCGGGCCAGCTCCAACGCCTCCCACCAGTAAAAGGTTGTTTTGTACTCCCGATGGAGGAAGGCGGTCGCTCGCGTCAGCGCCGTCGGCGTCTTGGCCTGCAGCGGCTTTTGGCAAGCGATGAGGAGCGCCGTGAACAGGACCAGCGAACCGGCGGGCCAGAGGACGATGAAACCGATGGCGAGGTCGGTGATAGACTCGTGATCCTCGGTGCCGCATTCGACGCTCGCGTCCTGCCGCATGTAGCTAACGATGCCATCGTCTTTGTCGGGATCGTCGTACGCCTAGAGAGGAGTCGCCTTGGGGTGAGAGGTGTGAGGAGCTGGCTGCAAAGGCGTGTGAGTGCGACTGCCTTGCACGACCACGCACGGAAGATGGAGGCGCTGATGGAGGGCACGAAGCAGAAGACGAGCACGAGGCCGGCCGGCGTGAGGTCGAGGAGGCCGAGGGCCGCCTCTGCGATCCACGGCCTCGCGTGCGGAGCCGGGGCAGCACGCCAGGGGTGGAGCCGCAGACATACTCCCGCGATTATTAGCAGCGCGATGAGGGCGACGGGCGAGAGGGCGATGCCGAGCAGCCGCAAACCGTAGCCGAGGCACTGCTGTGGCAACAAAATTCCCGACCAGTCGATGGAGACGGCGTTGGCTACTGCGTCGGTCCAGCGCGTGTACGTGTCCGGCAGACGCGTGGAGTAGGTGGTGGACAAGACGATGACGATCTGGTAGAAGCCCAACAGGATCTTGAACTTGGCCGTGAGGCCGATCGCGACGCACCAGTAGACGGCACGGTCTGCAAGGCGGAGCAGAAGGCCGATGTAGGGCTTCTCCCGCCACTCTGTCATGCTGTAGCAATACGCCGCGAGGCCGCACGCGACGCAGAGGCCGAGGACGAGGCCGACGATGCGGCCAGCCGCCGCGCCGCGCGGAGCGCACTCCTTGCACGCGTCGCCGTCGGCGAGGTAGCAATTTTCCGCGGCGCAGAGCTGGCACTCGGGGCCTTTGAAGCCGGGGGCGCAATACTCGGAGCCCGCCTCCTCCAACCTCCGGCGGCGAGAGGCCTCTCCCGGCTCGCTGCCGGCGCATCGCGTCTCTCCGGCGCTGTCATTGCCGCCAAAGAGGCGGCACTCCGTCAGCACGGCGGAGGAGGGGCTGGCGCGCCAGAAGCCGCGCGGGAGGACGAGGGAAGCGAGTGTGGTATTGTCCGGGCAGGTAGCGTTCGTCGGGCAGGACTTGCAGTACTCGGTCGGGGACTTGAAGATGTCGTCCGGGTCGGCGCTCGCGTCCTTCAAGTAGAAGCCCTCCATGCAAAACGAGCAGGTGGTGCTGCCGTTGACCGAGCTGAGGGGGTGAGGACACGGCACGCAAAGGCCCTGACCAGTGTTGGCGGCGTAACGGCCAGCCTCGCACTGGTCGCACGCGTCGCTGCCTGCCTTCGACGAGGTGCCGGGAGGGCAAGGCTCGCACTTGGGCTGCCTCTCCTTTGCGGCAAAGGTGCCAGGCGAGCACGGCGTCGGCTCGATGCTGCCTGTGGAGCAGGCGCTGCCGGCGGGGCAGTCCTTGCACTCGCCCGCGTCGGCGAGGTCGGTCGCGTTCGCGTAGGTGCCAGCGTCGCACGGCAGCGGCGCCGACGCACCCTTCTGACAGTAGCGTCCCGCCTTGCACGGCTTGCACACCGTCTTGCCGCCCTCGTCCTGGTACGTGCCGCCGGAACAGGGCGTGCACTCGCCCTGCCCGTACGCGTCCGTGTACGACCCCTTGGCGCACGCCGTCTGCTGCGTCGAGCCGGTAGTGGCGAAGTGGCCCGGCGAGGCGTCGGTGCACTGCGAGGCGGCGGTGAGGTCCGTGGCGGTGGAGTAGCTGCCCTTCTCGCACGGCAGCGGCGCCGACGCACCCTTCGGACAGTAGCTTCCCGCCTCGCACGGCTTGCACGCCGTCTTGCCTTCCTCGTCCTGGTACGTGCCGCCGGAACAGGGCGTGCACTCGCCCTGCTTGTACGCGTCCGTGTACGACCCCTTGGCGCACGCCGACTGCTCGGTGGAGCCGGCGGCGGCGAAGTGGCCCGGAGCGGCGTCGGTGCACTCGCTCGCGTCGGTGAGGTCCGTGGCGTTCGAGTACGACCCGGCGGAGCAAGCAAGGGGGGCGTCCGCGGTCCCTCTCGGGCAATAGCGGCCAGCATCGCAGGGCAGCGGCTCATAGGTCGCCTCTGTGGGGCACTGGGAGCCAGCGGGGCAGGGGCCGGCGCATCTGCTGCTCGACTGGTACTCGGGGTCGGCCGAGCCGAGGAGGCCGGCGGCGCAGGCGAAGGGGAAGTCCTCTTCGACGGGTAGCAGCGGCAGCTGGTAGAGGCTCTTGCCGAGGAGGGAGGGGTCTCCGCCACGCGTGCTATCCCAGTTGCACGGCTGCACGACGGTCGGGTTTTGGCAGTACCAAGGCGGCTGGCCGACTGCTGCGACGGCGAGGGCGCAATCGCCGCGGTGCTTGAGGCAAGCTGTTTGCTTAGGCGCCTGCGCGTACTTCAGGCACCTTCCCGCGCTGAAATCTACGCAGATGTCAGGGTAAGTGCACGCCTCCCGGTACACCTCGCAGCGCGCGTTCGGCAGCCAGCGACCGGCGGGGGCGGGGAGGGTGTAGGAGACCTCGCCAGCGAGCAGGAAGATGGAGCTGCCCTTACCCTCCGGTGCAGAGCAGCCGCGGATGAGGGTGCTTTCGCTCAGGGAGGTGCTCCCGCCCGCCGAGTAGAGGCCGCCACCAGACAGAGCAGAGCAACGGTTGATGAGGGTGCCGTTACTCAGGGAGGTGCTCCCGCCCGCCGAGTAGAGGCCACCGCCATAATCTGAGGCGATGCAGTTGGAGATATTGGAGCGGGCCAGGCTGGCTGAGCCCGAGTGCACGTATACTGCGCCGCCATACGCGGCATTGCAGCCAGAGATGGAAGAGTCTGTCACGATGAGGTCGCTGCCCCACGTTTTTGTCGCTCCGCCGCTCTGCCAGGGGGAGGCGCGAGAGGCCTTGTGAAGGGCTGCAAGCACGAGGGCTAGCTCTACGCGGCGCACAAGGTCAGCCGAGCAGTTTGTCACGGTCGACTTGATTAGCGAAACCGCACCGCTCTTAAGCGCGTCGACGACGCCGCCGGACTGCGGTTTCGAGGTAAGAGCGGGGTGAGGCAGCCGTGGCCCCTCTCTATATCTCGCCCCGCTGCTGACGTGCGGTGCTGCAGGGTGGCTGCGGCGCACCCGGCCAGCCGAGCAGCTCGTCACAGTCGAGCCGATCAGCGAGACCGCACCGCTGTGCTCCGCGTAGACGACGCCGCCGTTCTGCGGGTGCGAGGAGAGAGCGGGGTGAGGCAGCCGTAGAGATCTCCATCTCTCACCTCGCTGCCGTAGGTACGGTGCTCAGGGCGGGCTGCTAGCTCTACGCGGCGCACATTGACAGCACTGCAGTCCCTCACATCCGAGTCAATGATCTCGACGTCGCCTGCGCCACTCGCGTACACAACGCCGCCGTAGCCATCAGGCCAGTCACCCGCCACCCTCCCGTTGACGAGGGTCAGCCCCCGCAGGGTGAGGCTGCAGCCGTTCTCGAGTTTGAAGAGCCCGGTCTCTCCCTGGCCATCGAGCGTCGCGCTCTCGCCGCTGCTCGCGACGGTCACCTTGATGCTGGACTCGCACCAGATCCGGCTGATCAGCTTGAAGTGCGCACCGGGCGGCAGGTAGATTGATACGGTGGTATTTGTAGAACTCTCGGTGCGGGAGCGGAGCTCGGCCTCTTCGATCAGGGAGCGGAGCTTATCTGCGCTCGCCGCCGCGACAAAGCCGGGGAAGAGCGGCGGCGGCGGGACCAGCGGCGGTGGAGGCGGCGGAGAGGGCGGAGAGGGCGGCAGCGATGGCGGCGGCGGCAAGGACGGCGGCGACGGCAGAGAGGGGGGCAGCGATGGCGGTGACGGCAAGGATGGCGGCGACGGTGGCGATGGCGTTTGATATTCAGCCGCAAATCGGACGGCGCTCGTGGCCAGCAGCCGACTGTTGGGCTCGTACCAACCCCCAACTACCACCCAGTACTGGTCGCCTACGGTGAGCAGCTGCTGCAGTCCTGTGATGCGAGAGTAGTAGGAGGCGCATCCGCCCTTCTCCTGCTTGACTCTCCCGCCGTTGCATGCAACCTGCTTGAGCGCGTCGCAGCTTCCCGTGAAGATGGACAGGTCGGTTTTAAAGTAATACGAATCCCCCGATTCGAAGCCAAGGTCATCGAAAAAGTTAGTCGAAGCTATGGGCACACAGCTCGTTGGGAAAGGGAAACATGTCGGCGAGGCGCAGCCAGTAGACGTTACCGGTCGTGTTGAATCCCGTGCCTCTGCACTGCTCCAAACTATACGCGCTGCTTGGACCCGGGCCGAGGGCAGTTGAGTTAATGTCGGTGTAGGCGTTACCCGCCCCATCGAATGGCATGGCAGTCTCGCAGGTACTGCCTAGGGGCGGTGGCGGCGTAGGCGGCGATGGTGACAGTGCACATCCGAGCGGGAGCTGCGCGACGAGAAAAAGCCACGCGCCGCGGCACGACGCCGTCCGGCACCGCACGAGGCGCCTTTTGCTGCTCCGCCCCTTGGCCGCACCGAAGCGCGGCCACATCCACTCGCTCTTCAGCACGCCGCCGCACGCTCCGAGCAGCAGGAGCACGGCCCAAAACAGCTGCTGGGTGCGGTCAGGCGCGGACGAGTACTTGACGAAGGAACAGAAGGGGGAGGGCAGGTCCTTGGAGAGCTCCGCGGCCGGCGGGTCCGCGGACGGCTTGTCGGTCTTGTTGGGTTTGCGCGAGGCGGGCGTCGTGAGGGCGAGCGTCGGGTGTTCGGTCTGGAGTGGCTCGATGACGACGTCGGTGCGGTTGCGCGTGTTGATGAACGGGTCCCCGCGGCCAGCAGGCGGGCGAGCGGCGGCGTTCGAGGGCGCCGCGACGAGCATGACGGCGTGCAAAAAGGAGGCGGAAATCAGGGCTTCAATCAACGGCACGAAATAAAGAAAACCACGATGATCTAACACACAGGGGGAGAGAGGTGGCATGAAGGTTGCAGCGAGAAGCGGCGAGAGACTGCGAAGAGAGATAGGAAGAGGCAGACTCCCTAGGGTGGGCGACGGCTAGCGCACCACACACCTCTCCTTAAAATCCCTGTGTGGTGGCGGCGTGCCGTCCTCCCATCCCTCCCTTGGGTTGTCTGTTTTCTTTCTTTCTTTCTTTACAGGGGGAGAGAGACCAAGAGTGAGGGCGGAGGCCTGCGACTGGCACGCGCTCGGCCACTGCCGCACTAGCGCCGACGGCACTGGCCAGGGGCCGAGGGCTGCGCGCCGAGGGCCCAACTTGAGAATCGTGCTTTTTGGGTTGGGTTGGGTTGTTGGGTTGGGTTGGGTTGTTTATGTTCCGCGTGAGGTTGGGTCGTCGGCGCGAAGGGTGAGGTCTCGACCGCCGCCGCTCACGCCAGCGGACGGCCACTGCCGGTGTTTTTGGCTTCGCCACCGTCCAAGGCGTGCGCCATGCGCTCGCCGGCATCGAGCGAGCAACGTGATCGACCGAGCGGCTTGCTGTGTGGTCGCCTTCTTGTGGCTCTCGTCGAGAGCGTTTTGCGTCCCGGCGGGTGGGAGAAAGTGTGTCGTTGATGTGTCACTGTGTGCGTCACATCGATGTGGATAACAAGCACGGTCGATCCGTCAAAGCGATACACTCGTTCCTATCACGCTGGAAGGCTTGCACGGAGCTCTGTGCCGGCACACAGAAGAGCCGTGCGGCAAGAAGAGCTCGATGATCAATTGCTCTACCTCACTTCTTGCGCCTCTTCCCGCCAGCCCCCGAAGCCGAGGAGTTCCTCTTGGAACCACTGGAGCGGGGCACCTCATCAACGGGGGGGAACCAGACAGGATCAGGAAGCCACGCAGCCAGGCCAGGTCCCCAGGTCGCCCCGAGCCAGGTCGGCGAGGCGGGTTGGGAGGAGGGCGCCGCTCATGCACATGCCGCCAGAAAGAAGAAAAGCGACATCGGGCTCTATAGAGGCAAAGAGGGCCACGATCGTGCTTCGTGGAGGGGTGCGCACGTTCCGGAGCCGCTCATGACTGCACTCTCCTTCCTCTGCACCAGCCTACCCCCTTTCCGAGCTTTGAGAGGATGATACAACAAAATGACAAATTGTACACAAATGCAAGTTTGAGAGAGCGAGAGCTCGCGGAAAGCACGCACACGTGGCACGGGTTCCCAGCCTAGTAGTTGCACACGACCTCGGTGGCGCCGGGCACGATTGCGAGCGGATAGAACAGCGACCACTTCAGCGCGAGAGCCGAGGGCGGCGGCAGCCGCGCGAGCTCGTCGTCCCCGCACGGCACCCACCCGCCGCCCGCCGCCCGCCGCAGCGCCCGGAAGGAGCGGGCGGCGGCTCCGTCGCTCTCGTCGCGCGACACGCAACGGCCGCCTCCGCGGCCATCGTCGTCGGTCAGGCGCACCGCAACGCCCGTCGCGTGCGCGCGCCACGCGTCGCCGCCGAGCGCCAAAGCGCCGGCCGACAGCCGCGTGTAGCGCAGGTCGAAGCTTGTATTGGACGCCGCGGCGGCGGCGCGCGCTTCGAGGAGCAGCCGGCGAAGCTCGAGAGCCGGAACGGTGAAGCGCACAAACGGAGCGCCGGCGGCGGCGTCCCAGCGCGGCATGCGCGCGCGTCTCGCTTCGCCCAGCACCCGCCGTGCCTTTGGGTTGAACTGGCGGTCGATGTGGCCCGAGAGTCGGAGCAGCTCGCGCGTCCGACTGTCGAGCAGCGCGGAGATCTCGCCTGGGAAGAGCGCGCGCGAGGAGATGGGGGGGAGATGTGGGGGAGATGGGGGGAGAAGTGGGGGAGAAGTGGGGGAGATGTCGGGAGATGTGGGGGAGATGTGGGGGAGATGTGGGGGAGATGTGGGGGAGCGATATGGGGAGATATCGGGCACGACCTGTGAAAGCTCGCCGAGGGGAGATTTAGGGAGATATGGGGAGAAATGGGGGGATCTCGCCTGGGCCAGGCAGGTTCAAGGCTACACGCTCCTATATCTCCGCTACACCTGACCCGTACGCCACCCTGATCTCCCCCGATCTCCCCCGATCTCGCCAGATCTCGCCTGGGTAGAGCGCGTGCAGGAAGGCCGAGGAGGTGTGCTCCACGCGCACGACGCCGCCGCCGTAGTCGCCGCCCGCGCCGGCGTACACGCGCTGCAGCAACCCCGTCAGCACGAGCAGGTGGTTGGACTTGCCCTGGGCGAGGCGCAGGTTGGCAAACATCGTGCAGCTCCCCACCTCCTGCACGATTGAAGATTCTCCCTCACACAAGATCGTGCAGGGCGGGGACCCACAACATGTGCATGTGGTCTCAGAGGTTGGCCGTCTCATTTCTTTATTCATTTCCTGCACGCCCAAGACTGGCAGGGCGAACGAGTACGCCGCCGCCGCGCCCACGAGGGCCCGCGTCGCCCGCCGCGGAGCCTCGGCCGGCTCCGCTTCCGCCGGCCGCTGCAGCACGAGGGCGAGGCAGACCAGCGCCTACTCCCCTACTCCCATCCTCCAGAGGATCGAATCCAGGGTGGGCTCGGTCCCGCGGGGCGGTGTGGCCACAAACCGCGAGCGCACAAAAGAGGGCGACCGCAGGGTCGGCGTGCGGCGCCAGCAAGACAGCGGCGAGCGCGGCGAGCGCGGCGAGCGCGGCGAGCGCGGCAGCCGACGTGGGGTGCGCGCGAGGGGCGGCGGCGAGGCTGCCCAGCGCGCTCGCCGCAGGGCCGGCGTCGTCGCCCACGCAGAGCGCGAGACGCGACGCGGCGACGCAGGAGAAGGTGGGCACGCCTATGACACCAGAGGAGGAGGCGCTCCTCTCCCGTCGCCGCCCCGAGAGCAGGCGGAGGAGGCGCTCGCGCTCCATTGGGCGGCGGCGTGAGGGCGATGGCCGCGTGGAAGATTAAGGCAAGCAGCACGCCGCGCGAGGACCAGCGGTCGCGGGCGAGCAGCGCCGCGATCCAAAGTTCGACGGCGATGACGGCGGGGGGCATCAGAGCCGCGAGCACGCCGACGGCCCCTGGCGCCGCCTTGAGGGCTGTGGCGAGTGGTGGGATGCGCTCGAGTAGCGAGAGGCCGAAGATAGGCGCGCAGCTCACGCGCGAGTCCAAGAACGCCTCGTTCAGCTTGAAGAAGCCCGAGGCGGCGTAGCAGAGAGCGAGCTGGGCTCGGCACCACCTCCCCACACACGGCAGGCGCGACCGCTGGGAAAGGCAGAGCGAACACAGCACGCTCGCGTCGGTCAGTGCGCACCAGAACTCCGAGTCCCACACAAAAGGCATCTGCGTGTATCGTGCAGCATTGCGTGCGACGAGCGCGGCCGCGAGCAAGGGCCGCGAGGGCGTCAGCATGAGCGCACACGACAGCAGGCACAGCGGAGGCCGCCAAGAGTCGGGAAAGAGGAACTGCTGCACGTAGAGCTGCAGCAGGCTGTGAGCGGCCCAGATACGTGAGGCGGCGGCGAGTGGCGTCGGCGACGTGGGAGAGTTCATCCGAAGCGTGGCAGGAGCGGCGCCCAGAGACGGAAAAAGAAAAGGAAAAATCCGCCCCAAGTTGCCCGCTCCAAGCTAACGCGCTGTCCGCGCGCGGCAGCGGGCCCTCGCGCCAGTCGCGCTCGCCGTCGCCCGACTCTCCGCCCGCCAAGCGGGCCGCCTCCGCTGACTCGTCCGGCTATGAAACCGATACGCCGGACGAGGTGCAGCAGGAGGCGGTCCGCAGGGTATGCGGCGCGCTCGGCATGAGGGAGCAGTTCGAGGCGGCGATGGCGGCGGGCGAGCTGCTCGAGATGCTCGAGAGCTTGCCGCGGGGCGGTCGAGGCCTCCGTTCGGCTGATGCGCGGTTACAACCGCACGGGCGAGTGGCCAGAGCCCATCCTCACCAGCCCTGCCCCGCAGCGCGGCCGCTCGCCAAGCCCCGTCGATGAGTGGTCAGATGGTTAGTGCCCGAGAGCGAGGGGTCCGGGGGGGAGCACAAACATAGGACGCCCAGCCTTGCCCTCGTGCCGCCGAGTGCATATCCTATGCGAGAGAGATACCCTGTGCCCTGTGCCTCCAGCCCTCTCCGCGCGGCGATGCGCCCTCCCCCCTCGCTTTTGCAAAATCCTGCAAAGGTGGGGACGTGTCTGTCCTCGACCCAGCCCTAGCTTGGGATGTCCGTTGTATTTATATTTATAAGCTAGCGCTTAGACCTATGAGATATCGCCGAGGCGACCCGCGCGCCGAGAGAAAAGAATTTTTAGGTATTTTTACAACAAAAGGCGGTCGCACAAAAAAACACGATTCACGCGACAGGCAAGAAGAAGAAGATCTGTCTCAGGCAAGGCGCGGGCGACGGCTTCCTCGGGGGCGACGGCGAGAGAAAAGAAAGGAAAGCTAAAGAGACGCGACCGCACAGGGGCAACGGGGGCAAGACCCCCTGCTGGGGGTTCGGCCCTCTCACTGAAAACCCCGTGCGGAACGAGAAGTCATCGCACCACCACCCTTGGCAGCACAAAGCCGCGCCAGATGTCCGCCAGCTCCGGAGCCGCTCCCTCGCGGCTGTCGAAGCGCTCCTCGTCCCAAGCGACCAGGTAGCCCAGCCGCATCACCTCGACCGCCCGCTTGCGAGCCGCCTCCGGGAAGAGCTCGTGGGACTGCGGCGACCACTCCGCCGCCTTGAGGACCAGCCTGCCCACCTCCACCGCCTCGGCCGCTGGCTGCAGGTTGGCCGGCCTGAGGGAGGGCAGAGGCGTGTCACAGAGAGGATCCGGCGAGTCTAGGAGAGGCCATTGCAGTGCGCGCCTCAGTGCGAGTGCCTTGGCCTCGCCCGCCACGCGCACGCCGAAGCGGGCCGTCGAAGCGTTGGAGGAGACGACGACGCCGACCTTGCCGTTCATCGAGGGCCGCGAGACGAGAGAGCGGATCTCGACTGTGGAACCGACGGCCGCAGCGGTCGGATCCGACTCGCCCCACGAGCAGAGGACGCGCGCCCGCTCGAGGGAAGAAGGCGCGCCGGCGAGCGGGTCAGCGCCGCCGCGCAGCAGCGCCCGCGCCCGCTCGACGGTGAGCGCCTGCGGAAGAGGGGCAATGGGCGTGAGGACAACGCGCTCACGCCTTCGGCCGCTAGTCTCGGGCACGCCTCGAGATGCTGGAGCGGCGTCCAGCCGCGGCTGGCGACCAGCCAGGCGGCGAGGTCGGCGTGGCCTCCTTCGATTGCAACCTCCTCGGGCGTGCCGAAGGGCGTAGCGTCGCGGGAGGCGCCGTAGGAGGAGAGCAGCTTGGCGACCTCGAGGTGGCCGTGGTGGCCTGCAACGAACAGCGGCGTGGCGCCTTGCCCATCGGCCTGGTCGATCGCCGCGCCAGCCTCGAGGAGCAGCTGCACGCACTCGAGCTGGCCCTCCTCGCTCGCAATGAGCAGCGGCGTGACGCCGTCGTTCATCGCTTGGTTGATGTCAGCGCCAGCGCCGCGCAGCAGCTGGGCGCACTCAAGGTGGCCCTGCTGGCACGCGATGAGCAGCGGCGTGGCGCCGCCGTTCATCGCTTGGTTGACCGCTGCGCCAGCCTCGAGGAGCAGCCGGACGATCTCGACGTGGCCCTTGTAGCACGCAATGCACAGCGGCGTGACGCCATTCTCCTTGGCTTGGTTGACCGCCGCGCTCGCCTCGAGAAGCAGCCGGACGCACTGCTTATGGCCCTGCAGGCTCGCGACGTACAGCGGCGTGCAGCCTTCAGCGTCTGCGTGATCGGTCGCCGCGCCAGCCTCGCGGAGCAGCCGGGCGCACTCAATCTGCCCCTCCTGGCACGCGATATACAGCGCGGAAGCGCCGCGGCCAGTCGTCGCCCCGACGCTCGCGCCGCCCTCGAGCAGCAGCCGCGCCGCCTCGGCCTGCCCGTGACGAGCGGCCCAGGTGAGCAGCGTGTCCTGCTTCTCGGTGTCGTGCCGCGCGTCGAGCTGGGCCGCGAGCGACGTGCCGCGCGTCCCCTGCCCGGAGAGGAAGGCGCGCAGCCAGGCCAGGTCGCCCCGAGCCAGGTCGGCGAGCTGGGTTGGGAGGATGGCGCCGCTCATGCCGCTCATGCCAGAAAGAAGAAAAACCGTGCAGAAACCGGTACGCTTCACGCGAAGCTGACGGGGGCGCCGTCGCTCGCATCATGCACTGCCTCTCCTCGCCCGCCTTTCCGTACAAGGAGCACAGCCGCTCAAAGTACTGGGGCATGCACAAGTCCGTCGCCTTCGACCAGGAGATACTGCGAGTCTGCGACGAGCGACGCGACGCGACGAGAGATCGAGAGGGGCAGACGCCCGAGGGCAAACATGGATGGAAGACAGCTAGCACAGTGGAGGCCAGGCCTGGGCAAAGAAACCATCAACCGGCTTCCCTGAGCGTCACAGCGCGGTGATCGCGCCGGCCGGACACCACTGCAACGGCCGTTCCGGGCATTTGAACGCGACCTTCGGGCGGGGGCAAAGACATGGGCTCTATGGCTCAGACTGGACTCCTCTTGGTCCCTTCTGATGCCCTAGGCCACACCTGGGCCTTACCTGGGGCTCTAGGGCCGGGCAGGGTTTGCCCTCCGAAACTGGCATGGGGGACCTTAACTTACCTCATAAAAAGTTAAACAAACAACGTGATGGGAGGCGTCTCGGCGGTCTCAGGCCCAGTGAGGTAGTGCGCCAGACTACCCCGGATCCTGCTGAACAAGCTCCTCTTGTAGCTCGATCGGTCACACCGCCATCGCCGTCGGGGAGAGGGGGGACGACACTGCTTCGGCAGCGTGCACCTCGATCCTGTACCGTGTTTGTTATGACCCCCCCCAATGAACATACCAGTGAGGGAGGGCGAGACGATCGAGGGGTCCCGTACCACGCGGAATCGACCCTATCCAGTGCTCAAGTGCTCAAACAACTTCAAAACACAGCAGAAAGTACCGGTACCCGGGTATAGCCAGAAGCGCTGAAGTTCAAGGACTTCGGCGCTCGACGCGTGAATTTGCTGCAATGCCTCGCGCTCGTAAGCCCGTCGGCGATCCTGCGGGGGCACCGCTGCTTGGGCAGCGCGTCGTGCTCGGCGGCCTCTCTTCCCGCCCCGAGCTCAACGGGCAGCGGGGCGTGGCGGGGAGCTTCGAGGGCGGGCGGTACGCGGTGGCGCTCGAGGGCGGCGGCGAGAGCGTGCGGGTGCGGCCCGGTAATCTGTCGCCGGCGGCGGCGGAGCGGGCGTCGAGCGGTGCCGCGGCAGCCCCCGATGCGGTCATCGCAGCGGCTGAGCGAGGCGAGGAGGAGGCGGTGCTGGAGTGGCTCGAGGGCGGCGGGCGGGTCGACGCGACGTACGAGACAGGGGAGACTAGCGGCATCACGCTGCTGATGTGCGCCGCCTTGTACGGCCACGAGCGGGTGGTCGAGCTGCTGATACAGCACGGCGCAAAGGTCAGCCTGCAGGACAGCAACGGCAACACCGCGCTGATGGCCGCCGCCCTCTTCGACCACTCCGCCGTCGTGCGGCGCTTGCTGCGGGCGGGCGCAGACACCGCGGCGCGCAGCGCGAACGGGAAGACGGCGCTGCAGCTTGCCAAGGAGGAGGGCCGCGCCGAGTGCGTCGAGGCGTTCCGGCAGCACGTCCAGGAGTCGGTCGTGGCGGGACGGCCCACGGCGACGGCAGCCGGCGGCGCAGGCGCAGGCGGCGCTTCCTCCGGCGGCGCTTCCTCGGCTGGATCGAGAGTCGCGAAGACGTTTTCTCCAGCGATAGCGGCGGGGCGGGCGCCGAGCGGTGTCGCGGCAGCCCCCGATGCGGTCGTGGCAGCGGCTGAGCGAGGCGAGGAGGAGGCGGTGCTGGCGTGGCTCGAGGACGGCGGGCGGGCCGACGCGACGTACGAGAGAGGCGGCGTGAGCGGCATGACGCTGCTGATGCGCGCCGCTGGCCAAGGCCACGAGCGGGTGGTCGACTTGCTGATCCGGCACGGCGCGGAGGTCAACTTACAGAGCAGCGACGGCTTCACTGCGCTGATTAACGCCGCCGTCTTCAACCAACTCGCCGTCGTGCGGCGCTTGCTGCGGGCTGGCGCAGATGCGACGGCGCGCAGCGCGAGCGGCAAGACGGCGCTTCAGTGGGCCAAGCAGATGGGCCACGCCGAGTGCGTCAAGGTCTTGTCTGAGGCGGCGGCGGCGGCGGCGGAGGGCCGAGTAGGGGCGGGCGGCGCTTCCTCGGGCGCGGCAGCGGCAGCTGAAGACGCGCCGCTGCTCGGCCAGCGAGTCGTGCTCGGCGGCCTCTCTTCCCGCCCCGAGCTCAACGGGCAGCGGGGCGTGGCGGGGAGCTTCGAGGGCGGGCGGTACGCGGTGGCGCTCGAGGGCGGCGGCGAGAGCGTGCGGGTGCGGCCCGGTAATCTGTCGCCGGCTGCGGCGGAGCGGGCGTCGAGCGGTGCCGCGGCAGCCCCCGATGAGGTCGTGGCAGCGGTTGGGCGAGGCGACGAGACGGTGGTGCTGGCGTGGCTTGACAGTGGCGGGCGGGCCGACGCGACGTACAAGAGAGGCGGCATGAGCGGCATCACGCTGCTGATGGGCGCCGCCCAGGAAGGCCGCGAGTTGGTGGTCGAGCTGCTGCTCCGGCGCGGCGCTAAGATCAACCTGCAGGACAGCGACGGCGGCACCGCGCTGATGCACGCCGCCAACAGCGGCCACGAGCGGGTGGTGGAGTTGCTGATACGGCACGGCGCGGAGATCAACTTGCAGGACGACGACGGCTACACCGCGCTGATGTACGCCGCCCTCTTCAACCACCCCGCCGTCGTGCGGCGCTTGCTGCGGGCGGGCGCAGACACCGCGGCGCGCAGTGCGAACGGCAAGACGGCGCTTCAGTGGGCCGAGGAGGAAGGGCACACCGAGTGCGTGCGCGCCCTCGAGGAT